AGAACAGAAAAATTAAGGAAAAATAATTTGTGTCTGAATTTTTTTTTGAGATTTTGTTACTGTTATATATTTATTCTTTTGGTCCAAGTTTTCATCTTGTCTATGTTGTCTTGATCACAATGTCCCCACTGTTGTACCCTACACTCTTAATTCTGTCTGAAATTCTGAGATGAGCTATTGTTAATGTTTTGTATTGATTGATTCAGATCAATTTTCTTGTCTTTGTTTTTCTGATCATAATGTCCACACAGTTTTAACCTTTAGTCCTATTTCTATCTATAATAAATATACATTTTTCCCTCTCACTGGTAGCACAACTCACAGTTTCACACACAATGCAATTGTCAAGTGCTGATTGAAAACTGATCATTGCACAATTTAAATATTGATATGTCTCATCATCCCCTTTTGTAATCATAAGGTGGGGATCCAAATGCAGAAGCCACACTAAATCTCCTCCATAACAGTCTATCAATGGTAGCCATCAGCAATTCTGGTATAGTCATACCTGTCCATTGTTTGACATTGTCTAACCAGTTTTACGTTGACATCCTCTCCTATGTTGGTGCCTTGCACAGGATGTGTCTTTTTTCTCCATTTGACTGTGATGAGAAGAGGTTCCTGGTGGCCCAAAAAACTTTCAACCCTTTTCTGCACAAACTCATTGATATATATATACTATACTATAATGATAGTGGATCTGTCTCTTTAATTTATGGGTGGGTGGCAGGACATAAAATAAAATATAATATATTGTTATACATCATACACTATTTTATTAACAGCATAACTCAATGTTCAATATTTTATATATATATATATATAATTTCACCCCAAGCAAGCTGATAATGCCACTAGGACACATGGGGTTGCTGGGTGTGAAAGAGAATGAGAAGACTTTAGTGAGGAGAAAAGACAATAAAAGAACAGGCATTGGGAAGGCAGAAGATGCGAATTAGAGTTTATTTAAATTTTTTAAGATTGTAGATAGCAGAGAATCAAGAAATCAGAAAGGAGTTCCACGAGCAAGAAAAGAAACTATTAGAATAGGATTGACGATTGCATCTAGATATTTCAACAATAAAATAGTGAGACCTAGTTTCCAATCTAGTAGCACACTTAAATTCATGTAGTTGAGGTACCAAAGGGGAAAGCTCATTAGAGCAATTGGTATGAAAATGTTTGTAGAAGAGGGTTTGTCATGTCACATTGGTGAGAAAGTGACTGAAGTCAGGTCAGTTGGCATGTTTTTGTTACTTCTTCATAAAAATGACCATAGATCTCTCTCACAACCATCTTGCTTATATGAATTTTGTATTTCCTCTCCAATTCAGTTTTATGCTCAAAACAAATAGCTTAATTAACGTTATTAAGATGTATATTGCATGGACTTATTAATTTGCTTGTGGCATTTTCTTTCTTTTGTTTGTATAGCCCACTATTCTGGATCAGTTGTGCATATAATTAAAGTCTTGCAAAGCATGCTCTTTTTATTTTAGAATTTAAAAATTGAAGCTGTGTCAAAACTGAGAATTATTTTTTGAAAACTGCAATTAGCACATTTCACTTCTTTGCTGCCAAACCTATTTATCAAAAGCACTGTGTCACATGAAGCAATGGTTTTTTTAACTTCTCAAATGATTTCTGGAAACCTGAAGACTGTAGCAGTTAGAGCTGGGATGCTAGCACAGTGCACAAGACAGGATGTCTTACAGTCCTAAATGGTAATAGTGAGATTATATGTTTCCATGGGAAATATTTGACATTCATTAACTGAACCTTTAGTTCTACAGTTGGTTAAAATTTATAAAATCTATCTTTTAAACACTATACTTCACAAGTTCATTGTTATTGCGCTGTCTCATATAGAAGAGAGTTTTCTTCCTAGCTTTTTGTTTAAGATAGTGTGAAAAGTCAATATCTTCATTATTATTTTCTCTTCTATTAACATATGCTATCAATTTTAGTGGTTGCTGCTGTTGGAAGTCTTCAAGAGATATGGTTTTTGTCATTTCGTAAATTTATTTGTTTGTGCTTCTGTAAGACCAATCTATAAAGGATTATAGATCTGATAAAGGATTCTTTTCTTTAAGACCTGGAGGATTTACTCTCTTGAAGCCATTTTTACTCATTGATCTGAGAAAATAGTTCTATATAGCTGATAGTTTAGACATTTCAGAACACACTAGATGCCTTGTTCTGTCATCCATTTACTCAGGTTTGCTAGGTAGGTTATTTTCCTCCGTCTCTTTTGCCTTCAATCTGTTCCATGAGCATCATATTTTCCAAGCACTCTTTTCTCAATATATGCCCTAGAAATTTCAACTGGTTCTTCCTGGTGTTACATATAAGTGTACTTTTTGTTTCCATTTTTTTCTAAAACTTTATCATTGATCACATGTTTGATCCATGGTATTCTCAGCATCCTTTTGTAGAATTACATTTCTATGCTTCAAGTCTCTTCTTCATCTGTCCAGCATTCACTGCCATATAAGAGCACTGATATTATATAACAGTTCATTACTTTTTTCTTTGTTTCTAATGAGTAAATATATTAATATAAAAGGGATCACTATTTAGAAAAGATTTTTAATCACTGTCTTAAGAATTAAACTGACAAAGCCGTCATCATTAGATAGGATTCAAATATTTATGCTTCTGTGACTGTCTTTTCTTTTAAACTCCAAAAATTAAAACACAAATAAAAAATCTGACAAGGACAAACAAAAGAGATAAAAGAAAACAAAAAATAATTGCAATAAGAAAAATATTTCATTTTAAAATCTCATACCTTTTTTCTGATTATTTGTAACTGCAGTTTTATTTTAGAGTAATATTTTGTTTATACTTGTAGATGTTGTGTAATATTTTGCTGAGATCATTCTCTTTTGTAAGAGACTGTTTTTGGTACAATATTTTTTTTTATTCTACTGCCAGAGTTTATGTTTAAAACATTAGAATGGGTTGATAATTTATTTGCAGTAGATTGGTGGTGTATGTCTTAGAAATACACACAGATTAATGGACAGGGACTGAATCAGGTCAACATGGATCGAAGAATAAACCAAGATAACAGATAGCATAGAAATGAATAAGTAATAAAAATATAAGTGGGTGCAACACAGCAAGATGAAAGATTATTATAATAAATGAGTAGCAAACACAGTAGGAAAATAAACAGAACATGGATGAATGAGACAGTGGCATTTCCTGATAAAACATGGCGGAGAATAGCAGTCAAGGTCAACACGGAATGAGTTTTACCAAAACCAGTTAGTTAACACCAATTTTATAGTGAAAAAACATTGACTTGCATTATTAAATTTGACATTGTGCAGTTTTCTAGCATTTGTAAGCATACATCGTGAATTGGGTAAATTTATGGTTACTTCTTATTGTGAATGGATGTGTGCATAATGTAGCATTTATCAGCATGGAAAGTAGAACTGACATGCTGAGTTCAAATCATTGTGTTCACTTTTATGCAGATACCCTCGGGAAAGGTTTAAATCCATCTCTTCTCTCCTCCCCAACTATAGATAAAATAACAGGACAGATGGGGCTTTTTAACTTTGGTTGGCAATCAGTCTAGAAGAAGGAGGAAAACACTGAATTCAAAACTGATTGACTATGAGGCTGGCACTCCACTCCATACAAACTTACTTTTTTTTTTTTTTTTTTAAGCGTTTCACCCCAAGCAAGGCAAGAAGCCACTAGTACGCAAGGGGTTACAGAAAATTTGGAGCAAGATCAGATAGGAGTGATAGAAGAAAGGATGAGGAGAAGGGTAGTGGATAGATCAAGATAAACTACAGCAACACCACCTAGTGTGGTGAGGCTGTGGTCACATTCTCTACCAAGAAATCTACAGGGTTAATGTACATATAAACTAGGCTCTCTAGCTTTAGTTGGCAACCAGTCTAGGACAATAACAACTCTAATGGGGTTAGGGTGTGACACTATAGTTGATAGGGGAGACAAATAAAATTAAGGAGGATGGAAGAGGACTGGTCCTGAAATTTGTTAGAGCACTAAACATGACAAGTAAGAAATGAGAATACTGAACAACCAGTGCCAGAATTTGGCACAATTACAAAAAAAATCCTTTACATCTGGTACATGTTTTTTTTAATATGGTGCTTCAAAATGTTATATGGATTTAGAGCTTCTTCTGGCACTGAGCCTTCATTGTTCAAATATAGGTTTTGGTTTAAAATTTCTGGTTAGTTACTGAATAAAACAGACATAAGAACTGAATAGGTAGAGCAGATGAAACATTCTGTTAAAAACAACAAAAAGATGAAAAAAATAACACCATAGAGTTACTGAATATAACACCTCATCTCATAACTTCAAGAAACTACATACAGCAGCAAGGCCTTTGATCAGGGGATTGGAGGTTTTGAAAACTATGTTGTTCCCAGGTTTACCCTGACTCAGGGTGGTAGCACCTGTTAGGATTCCAGCTATAAAGAGTGAACACCCCAAACAAAAATTAACAGTACATTTTTGTAGTAAAATGACCACCAATACATTTTTATAGCAAAATGACAATCAATACAATCTTAAAAAAGTATAAAATATATTTTTATAGTAAAATTACCAACAATACATTTTTTTATAAAAAAAATGCCAACAATACATTTTTGTAGTAAAATTACCAACAATAGATTAAAAATACTTACCAACAATACTTTTTATAATCTACAAACTATATATATATATATATATATATATATATATATATATATATATATCTAAAAGACATTGTTAAGTATTATTATATTTTGTTAACAATGCCTTTTTTAGATTATAATAATTTGGGGGGAGATAATGATTTGTATTGATACATGTTCTACCAATTAACCCATAGCTGGAGGAAAAGAATTGGATTCATACCTTCCCCAAGGGTATTTGTGTATAAATGAATATAATGAACTTGACTGAAAATTGATTAACAATTCTGAGCCTTTATCCATTACACCACCTGCACATCCAAGCTTACAGCACCTGGTATTCCAAAGTGGTCACCCATCTAGGTACTGAACAGGCTTGATGTTGCTCAACCTCAGTGATTATACAGGAACTGGTGTTTCAATGTGATATAACCATAGGCAACCATGCCTGAGTTCAGGTTTCAAAACATTGTCTTCAAACATATTACTTGGATGATATATAAAAATAAGTCACAGAGACAACAGACGAATTCATAAAACTGCTCTAATTATCTGTTACTGCTGACAAAATCATATTTGATTGAGAAGGAAAGCAGAATGTCAAGAGATTTTTTTCTGGTTTCTTCCTTGATCAACATTTGAGAAATATACACCTCCACATTTACAATAAAAAGTTTTGACTATATAATTAAAGGAAAAAGCAGAAGAGACAGCTATGAATCATTTGATAAGGAGGTAAACTTTTTGAGTTGATGTTTTTGATTTCTATTGTTTTTTTGTTTTTTTTAGTATCACTTGAAGATTTTACAAGAATTGAAAGTACATCATAGAAGACAATAGGAGCAGAGGGAAACAGCAAATAACATACCTAACAAGAAAATGGATGGCAGAACAGGGAATTGTGAAATAACAAAAAGACAAACTTTGGTAAGAGCTACAAAAGATAAGAAGTTGTGGAGTGTCACAAATACCCACATGCTGAAGAGATACAGGACATAAAAGAAATCTTTTAACTACTTAATGGATATCCCAAGTATAGATGTTTTTATATTATATTCTTTTCCAAATATCATGAGATAATTCATAAAATAATTTTCAATTTTGCACCAAACCATGAATTTGGAGACATCCTATTACATGATAAAATGTTATGGTTAACAAGTTGAAAATAGAAATAGGTGAGTACAAATTTAAAACCTAGCTGAGTTTATTATTTTCACTTTTCTGTAAATGCTCTTGCAAAGGTGTGAATCCATTACTTCTGCCTCTTGCCTTGTGTTGGCAACCAACCTAGAAGAAGAAAAACTCTGAATTCAAAAACAACCTAAAGAGAGAAGGGCTGTCAGACTATCTTACCTAAGATACACCACTGCTGCAAATGGCTGCAGTACAATTGGTGCTCCCATGATCTTAATGGGTTATAGAACTTGTGATATGACATTACGTTTTACAGCAAGAAAAGTCTATCCTGAATAATTTATGTCCTACAATAACAATTCTCTGAGATCTGTGGCAACAACCAGTGTTACAATCTTCACTATTTCTGTGCTAAATGAGTTTTTATGACTTCTCCACTTGCTGTAAAGATTTTTATCATATAAATAAATATATATTGAATATATACATCTTAAACATCAGCTGTAGTGATTATATTTGGTAGATTATACATACTTGCCTGTGTATTTGAAAAAAATTCATAGGCTCAGGTTTCAAAAACATATGCTGTGTATATGTGCATATGTTTAAACTGTTTCTATAGGGATATAATGTGGCTGTTTTTGGAACTTTGGTTTGAGGGTTTTTAAGTTCCCTCTAAGATAAAATCTAGTCTTTTGTTCACCTTTTGGTGCACAAGTTATCATGTTTTAATCTGTGGGTTTTTTTTTAAGTAAATAAAAACAACATAAAATTCACTTTCAACTTGTCATTTGTCATCGCATCTAAAATTTAAGGTGGGAAAGTGTGTTCTGGTGAAGATCAACCACAAATTGAAATACACTTACAGACTAGATTCCTTAATCAAGTAAAAGAACAAATAGATTTGGGTGTTATAGTTTCATGCAGTTGATGGCAATCTGAGAAAAAAACTTTGCAAATTCTTTAAAAAAGTGGAATGGATACTGAGATAAGTGTGTGCATTATCAAGAGGATTACTTTGAAGACGACTAAGATGTTAGTGCTTGAAGTAAGTTGTATTTTTGTTAATATTAAATATAGATTTTGCATGTGTAGATATTTTTAAATTAATCAGGCAATGCGATAATTTTAGGATACCAGGTGAGGACTGACTGTCTGACAAGATAAAGCATTGGAACTGTCGTTTCCTATACATGTGCCTGGAAATTTTCAAGATAAAATGATGGTTTATCTTTTTATTATGTATCTAGTGATAATGACAACTGGCCAGTGTAAGGTTAATTAACATTGACTGAAATGCAGATAAAGTAGCCCTGTTTTACTGAAATTATTATTGAAAATGGCTTCAAATGAATAAATCTCTCCCTTTTCAGACCCTATATACTGGCACTACAAAAGCAGAACCAAAGTGCTTTACCAAAATAACAAAAAAATCACATCACTAGAGCTATTGCAACAACAAAAATAACACATATAACTAGAACTGAATTGGAATTTCAAACTGAAACCTTTATTTCATCCACCAGGGTAGATTGTTCTACTTTCACATGCCATGCCTTTTCAGGATGTTTCAATTATCTCCACAATTCTTTTGATTAAGTCACTGGACCTAACCAACACTTTGGATAAAAGTGTTGGCTGAATCCAGTGACTTAACCAAAAGAGTTGTGAGTTCAATACCTGGCTACAGCAGTGGTGAACAAAAACTTGAAGAATTCAGTTAAAGGGAGATAACTGAGGCATTCGGAAGGGGCATGACATGTGGAACTAAAATAGTCTACCCCAGTGGATGAAATAAATGGTTCAGTTTGAAATTCCAATCACCTGAAGAAGGCTGGAGCATACAACAGTTGAAATACCATGAATATTACAATAAAGATGAGGACTAAATCTGAACAATGTAAATAATGTAAATAAAGATTAACATAATTCAAGAAGAGCAGAGAACTACTTGTGAGTAAACAGATAGCTGAAAAAAAAAGAAAAAAAAACATTGTGGGCTTTGCTGCTAGAAAATGAGTGTTTACATGGTGTGCAATATGGCTAGCTAAAATTAAGAAAGCAGCCACCTGGGAGACCAAATCTCCTCTGGTGCCAAAGAAGTCCTGTTGTTTTCATGACTGTATTCTGGAGCAAAAAGAAGTATGGTGATTTATTATCCCATTCTTTTATAGTCCTGAAACAGTGCCACCTATTGGGCATCTTGGCAGACAAGGTGGGGGTAATCCTCACAAGTATATTTGCTTCAGTGCTGTTTAAGAGAGGCATTTTATTTATGTTGTCTATGTAATAGATATCTTTGTCATTGTCATCTAGAGTCATATTGTCCTTTACACTAAAATATAGAAATAGTCATTATTCACTATAATGTGTTTATTTACAATTTTTTGTTATTCACCTCTTCTACTCCAGCTGTGGGTTAATTAGTAGAAATTGTATCTGTAAATCATTATCATGTCCCCCAAAAGATTCTTACATAAAGTAACAGTTCTGGGAAAGAGACTTTTTATACCAGTGGAATACAAAAGGAATGAGGATGAGTTGACTCTGTGGATGTGGCATAGCATGTCCTAATTGTCAAGGTCTTGATTGATGAAACTAAGGAATGTAGTTTATCAGCCATGAAAACAGTGATAGAATAGCAAGAGGCAGTAATGTTTTGGTATATGAGAAAGGGCTTGTAGGGTGGAAAATGATGTATCACCCACAAGGCCAAGTAAATGATTTTGAAATTTGTCAAAGCTGAAGACTGAAGAAATGTTCAGTCTGTGGAGATGGAATTAAGTATACTGACAGGGAAGAAAATTATGTTGAAAAAGATCTTTAGTGTAAAATTAATATTTTTTGCTTTTCTTATTATTAATGTACCTGATGTATATAGCTTATAAATGGTTTCTACAGTTTTATCTTTATTTTTATTTTCTATTAGCTGAAATAGAGTGATGCTCTAACTGGTGATAAGGCAACAAAAATAAGATGAAAGTAAATACTTGTCAAAATTAATAATTGTTGTAACCTAAGGAAGGTTACTGAATAGAATAATCAAATGAAGGTTGGTACTGAATGATAATACTTAGGACAAGAAATATAAGATCTGCTAGCGGCACGTAGAAGAAGTAGTCAACTGCTAAGAGTGAGTAAAGTGAATTCCACCATGAATCTCCAACTGAAGACCAACATACAGTATTTACTACTGTATTTATGTGAATGGGAACATACTTATTATTGTCTGTAGGTATGCTACAATAATAATAAAAATGGTGAAAGATAGTTTTTGACTTCACTAGCTAAAATGATTAATACATTTAAATACTGCATATAAAAACTAAATGTTTCCAATAACCACAAGTCATTATCAGACTAAATCTGGTTATCTGTTTTAATATTGACATTTGTTTATAAATAATCTGCATAGAATGAAATGAGGTTAAATGAAAATTAACATCTTAAGGGGATAAAAATCTGTTGGCAATATTTGAATATTAAGGCATTGTTTCTGTTTTAATATCTTCAAAAATGCACATGCATCCAAAACCTGCATTTCTTTTATGCATTTTTAAGAATTTGCCTCTGGATTTTTGATCTGTCTAATCCTTTTGAATTTTCAATTAATCCGAAGATTATTCTAAAGCAAGTATCAACTTAGTTAAAATTTTACTTCTCTCTAGATGGATAATTGTGTGCAGACTAGTGCACACATGCAAATGCACATCTGTGCAGATGGGTGCACACATATAAATGTAAATACACACACACACACACTACAAAAAAAACTTGCACCAATGATAAGTGCATGTAAAAAATTGAGACATATAAGCAGTCAATTGCTGATACGCATCAATGAGTGGATGAACAGGTTTGCCTATGAAACTCTGGTTTTGGGATGCTGAAGGTAACATCAATCAGCTAAGTGACAATTTTATTCATATTAATTCTATATATCTATAACCTTTTACTTATATTAATTTTATATATATTTATATGTTATGAATTTGTAACGTATAAAGATATAAAAAAGGTTCAAAAAAAAAAAAAGGTGGGTTTGCTCAGACAGGAACACATGAACAAGTACCAATGAGCAACAAACACAATATTAACATTTGTAAATAAATTTTAAGTATCATATTTTAAGTATGGGAAAGTATGAAGTGACAGACATACAATTAGTACAAGAACACTTAACTAATATTGGATGTCAATTCAAACATTTGTATTTCAGGAATTTGTAGTTCAAATGTTCCTAATGACAGACAAAGTTGCTGTAGAATGTTCACAGAAGTTGGTTGTTCTTTCTTCCGT